ACACAATATTGATGGCGAGAAGTCGTAGTAGAGAACGTATTTTTACAACCACCACAATATAATGAGAACGACAACCGAAAATCGTTTGTTTATTGAGAAATATATTCTGTACACATAATATTATGCAGGGTGTACCAGAAAAAAATGTCGCGGTCAACAGAATGATTCTGTATAAGATGCCTTAAGAACAGAGTTTTTGGGTTTATTTGTAAAATTTCTGTCGAAAATAAAAATAAACCGTAACGTGGAATTTCCCAAAAAAATCTTTTATGAAAAAAACACTTTTTGTTTCTGTTTTGTGAGAAATTTCCAATTATCAATTAACCCTTGAAAATGTCTTAAGATAATTATGGTTGGTAAAAATATTCTAGAACCATGCTCATTTTCTTGTTTTTTACCTGTGTCTTATTTTTTTATGCAGCATATTATCCAGAGAGCCAAGGTTTTGAATCATATTTAAAACCTGTACAATTAGGGTTTTAACACATTTTTTTGTCAGCTTTGAAATGAGCTATGTAATAAAGCTTCAGTGTTAAACTTTAAGAGGTATGCGCACTTGAACACAAGTAGTGGCCTTGTCGCATACCCTGTGTTGTTTAAATTGGGAATAAACAATGTCTTTCAAAAGTCGTAAAAATATATTTTGTTTTTAATTATTTATATTTTGAGTAGGAAGAAAATATTTTTGAAAGTTTTGTTTTGTACTTCGTCTATTATTTTTACTTTTTTCATTTTTAAGTAGACGTTACATGTTTCTTAGTACGGTTAGTGTATTACAAGAAAAATCAACTTTACATAAAGATCATGTTCTGTCAATTTTTGGTGTTTAATTTTGTATTCTTTGTTAGTACTAACTGATAACAAAAATATCAAAACGTAATGGTTTTAGTTAGTACTCTGATATCTCAATAAAGTGTTGGTACATGAATAGTGTACATACAGTAAAGTTATTTTAGCTAAAACTACAAGGTAAATCCTCAGTATATGAATTGGAAAATCAGTTTACTAAGAAAATATGCATCATCGTTGTGCATACTGCTTTATTCTTTTGGACAAGCTACTGTGTTTGTTCCTAGTATTTGACAATATTTTTGTCAAGTCACATTTTATAATCATTCTTAAAGATATTTCAATGGACTTACTGCGTTTCACCTTAGAAAAACAAAACATGTAATTATCCAGTTACTACCCGGTTTATGAATAAACTTACATTTTTTAAATTTGGCGTTTACTGCTTGTCCATACTGTCTATAATGTGACAAATTGAAACAGCGTACTTTAACCTCTAAGAACAACAACTACTTAGGATGTTTCAAATCGATAGTAAAATATAAAATTTTTTTTTGTACATGTATTAGATTTTGATTTTAGAGTTAGGGGAAGATATTTCCTATTTTCGTGGTATTAGACCCCTTACAATAAATATTATTCTGTTTGATATCTTGATAATTCGAAAACGAAATAGCTTGATTTATGTTATGTATACATATTATAAATACATATAGGGGACGTCGACATTGTCGATTTATTAATAATGGCTAGAGAGCTGCTGATCACAATGCCATGTATGTTTTACGTTATACATAGATGTATACTTAAATATATATGAAGGGCACAGGGGAAAACGGTAGTAAACACATTATGACAATTTTTTTTTCAAATAGTTTTTTTCAATTTATGCCATTAATTTTTTTTTATGTCAATAGATTGTTTAAATAAATTATTATTAGAGTAGCATTTAATGTGTTTTTTTTGTTCTTATGTAAGAGGGAGAGTAATTCGCGAACTTTGTTTTTGCTTTACTCTAAAATTTTCATAATGTGACTACTACCTTTTTCCCCCTGTGCCCTTCATATTCTATATAATGCCATTATGCCCTCGTGGGATGGGTTTAAAGGTATCGAAGGAGAGGAAAGGAACGGGTGAGCGAGAGACAAATGGAAGGAAAATGGCCAAGATGACATTTTTAACAAGAGAACTCGAAAAGCTGGTAAAACACACACACACATCACATCTGAGTTCATGTATGTAATATCTGTGTAATAGGCGTGTGTGCGGTGTATATTAAATATATTATCGATACACACATTAGCGATAACTGAGCCCGGTAAAATCCGCTTTTATAGCTGAGCCAGCATTTTCTTTTTTGTCGCTTATGTCAACCCTTAACCCGGCCTTCGCCACCCGGCATCCGCTCAAAAATAAATAAAATAATATAATACAAACAACTATAATCTACCCTTAGTTAAAACCACCGCGCAAAGGTCGGTGTCGGTTTAATCTAAATAGTCTATAACTAGTTAATAGTTGAACTAAGATGGGTGAAAAAAAGAAGTATATTACATAACTTATGAAGAATTCAAATTAAACCTGATATACAGTTTTATTTCAGTACTTCAACATCATGCACAGTTTTGAGATTTGATGCGAAACTGAGATATTAATTTTACAACGTTATATTTTTTCGGTTAGTACGATATTTCTAAAATAGTCTCACTGCCAACTGGTCTCATACATCATAATCTAATCGATCAGAATTGGTAGCCAAAAAGTACTTTTGGGATGAAAATGTATAAATGTAATGTTCAATCTTCACCCTCTCAAAAACGGAAAACTTCACTAATACAATGTTTTTCATACATTAAAAAAAAAAATATATATATATATATTGTAATTTTAAAAAATAATATATACAATTATCTATTATTGTGAAAAACCAAATTATAAAATCTCGTTTTCCTAGTAGATATTAGTAAATTTTTGTAGGACATCTTGTTTATGCTACGTCCAGGTCATACTTTACTTGCTAGTATTTTATACAACGATGTAAAATTTAATTGGTTTTAAAATACAAATTCGCTTCATGTATCCTAAATAAACAACCCTTATATCCTCTGTTTAGGACATTTGATAAGGACCAGTAACAAATGGGTAATAGAGGTTATTAATGGGAATCCAGGGAAGGGGAGATCAAGATAACTCCACATGAAACAAATAGAGTCGGACATCAGAAAAATGTTCTAAGAAGAATTACTGAAAAAGTAAATAGTAATAAAGATCAATTCACAATTGAGAAACATGTATCCATCACCAGTCTGATTATTAGAAGAAAATACACTCTAAACAACAAAAATATACCTATCATATTTTAACACACATTGTTTTGAATCTTATCCTCGAGTTTCAGTTATGAAAAAATGTATGTACATACTATTTTTTAAATAAACGATTAAATTTACCGGTTTGTTTCTATTGATTTTATTTATTTTAAAGTTAGTTATCAAGCAAAACAGCATTTAGCGATAAAATCAAATTTCTCATAACGAAGAAAATTAATAAGACAGTGAAAATAAGGCTGATAAAAACATACATTTGGAGCATTATTACCTATGGATATGAAACATGGATTATAACAAAGGGAGGAGAAAGCATTGGACGCTATGGAAATGTGGTGCTGAAGACGAATGGAGAGGTCGGATGTATACAACTGTAAACCAACCTATGGGTTGAATACACGAAGAAGGTATACGATTTTTCTTTAATTTTTAATACAATTAAAGCACTTGCTAGGTATTTATTATTATGATAAACATAAGTTATTTTCGTTTTCTGATAATACAGAAAAAATTCAAGTTAATTTTCAGTTTTTATTCTGGTTTTTATAGAACGGCCAGACAATGGATTTAAGAATTTTCTTAAATTGCGGTTTGAGATAATATTGTTGTGATAGCTAAATATTAAGTAATGAGTTTTTTTGAAATCGTATCACAAAATCATGAAAGTAAAAGAAACACGAGAAAAAATGCTTTATAAACCAGCGTTTTTTTAAGTAAAACTATTTTTGGGAGCAATTTATATTTTATAGATTATAGTATTATACTAAAATAAATAATAATAATACACAGAGGTTATTGTTATGGAGAGAGAAACGATATGGGCGAGATAGTACTTGATCTTACGCAGCGATAGAGTTGGCAGTTGCGAATATTTTTTATAGGAAGAGAGAAGAACATTATATAATTTACAAGAGTGGATGGAATAGATTACAAATAGATTGTTTAATATGGAGGAAAGAGAGTAGGTATATGTACTTAGGACCGGTGGTACAAAAAAATGGTAGGTACGAGGAGGACGTGAAAAAAAGAACGAATTGTGGATAGATGAAGTGGAGGAGTGTGTCGGGTATTTTGTGTGACAGGAGGATGCCTATGAGATTGAAAGATGAATTGTATAGGTCGGTAGTGAGACCAGAAATGTTGTATGGGTCGGAATGTTGGGCAGTAGATAAGAAAACTGAACAGAGAATAAGTGTAGCGGAGATGAGAATGTTAAGATTAAAATGTTGGGCCATAGTATATCATTCAGGTACGATTTATGATCCATAGAGTTGCCACATAAAGAAATCGGTTTTGCGGTTTAATAGATATCGTGAGTCGGCGCACAAAAGTAAATAAATAAAAACCCATTTTTGTAAAAAGTTTCTACTAAAAGCAATATCATCTCAGTTTCGCATGGGTGCTTAAAGTAGTTTTAACAAAGACAGTGAGATTTTTTACAAGAGGGGTCTTGTGAAAATGTATGTTACGTCTAGCCTGAACAATGTATAATAACACATAAATACATATTTAAAAAAAAAATGAGATTATAAACGACCATTTTATGTACTACATAAAAATTAAAAATATTAGTTATTACAACAATGTATAATTTTTAATAGTAAAATGAGTAAGGTACAATAATTATTATAAATCGTATATTGTGCTAATCACTATAAAAAAAATCAACGCTGTAATGTATTATATTATTACAGAATTGTATTTGCCTCGCTTATTGAAATATACATGTCAATCCATGAATTAAATTTTTCTTCCATGAAAGTACTGGAGGTACAGTTTCAACGACAGCGCATCTGAACGAAACGTTGCGCTGTTTCGTTTTAGGCGTTGCGTCGTCGAAATCGCCTATTGGACGGACGCATATTATATTTTTTAGCTAAGCAATCGGAAACCGATGATAAGACATGGCATTGAATTTCAGCTATGCCTATTGTTTACATCGCTATGTAAATAATGTAATATCCGCGAACCGTTTTTCCTCGTTCAATTGTTATTGTTGGTGACGGAATCCGAATTATCGTGACCCAACAGCCGAGTTCCAGTTGTGAGTGTACCCACCTACTTGATTGTTTTATGATCATATTATTAATATACTGAGGATTTCGCCATGTATTCTGAAAGTTATGGGTGAGTACCAAAAAATTCAGTACACAAAAAAAAAAGTGTGTACGACGCCCAGTTGATGAAGTAGTGTTCGGTGGTATTGTGGTAAAACCGTTGTGATCATTCGTTTTTGACATACATGTTGTAGAACAACCTTCTGATCAAGATAAAACAATGGTTGCTAGTCTGCAGTTGAGACGCAAGGCTCTGGAAGCCAAAATCATCGAGAAAAACCGTGAACTCAAGCGGTTATGTATACAAGAGGCAGAGTTGACAGGCACTCTACCCCCGGAAATCCCCTTGGATCCTGGGGAAACGCCACCTACGTTTCGTAGACGCATTGGCACTTCATTTACTTATCCTGAAAATTTGATAAACAAATTAAAATTTAAAGATGTGAGTTGTTGCCCGTACAGTCATTAAGTTATTGACACATGTTTGTGTACTTACAATATATTTATGCTCATATTTAGGAAGAGACGTTGGCATCGCTTGAACTTGAGTTCAAAATTCAAAAAGGCATTGCAGAAGCGGCCTTGGGGTTAGCTAATGATGAGACGGCTAACAAATCGGTTAGACGTAAACATCGCATGATGTACCAGCAAAGTCAGCAGAGATTAACAGAACTTGAGATGAGAATTAATTTATGTCATAATCAAAAAGTAAAAAAGAAACCTCGTCCAGAGAGCAGTTATATACCAGGTATTATTTTACTAAATATAGTTTTCGTTTAATGAATTAATTGAGTTGTCATAATAAAAAAAGTATAATTGCCTTAGAAATCAAAACGACTATTCATTTTCAAAAATAATATCTAAAATAAAATAGTAAAAATTCTTTAGTTTAACTTTTCTATGAAATGGAATGTTTGTTTTTTAAAATTGCATAAAGTAAAATTCAAGTGGTTTTCATTGTTTTTGGTTTTGTGTCACGCTAGTATATATATACATATTTTTTAAATAATAGTATTTTTATTATTAATTTTTAAATCAAATTTACGTTATGGTAAATACTGTATCGAGTGATAACAATTTTTTCACAAAATTCACAAAATAAACTTCGATTTATGAAAATAAATTAAATAAAATTTTTAAAATGTATTGTAATTGGAAAAAAATAATTTTCTTTTAAAATAATCTTTTATATACTACATTGTTTTATTCTACGTTTCTTAATTATCTACTTTATTAGTACATATAATTTTAAATGCATGTAAATTAATTTAAAGTGTTATTCATTTTTTGTTTAAAGTCATATTTAGAGTGCTTTTACTGTGTTATATGTTTTTTTGCAATTTTTATTATTATTAGTGAATGCTAGTTATATTTATATATTTTTTATCTTAATTTTATAATAAACATTTCTATTTTAAATTAAAAGCTATAGCTATAATTTTGACATTACATTCAAATCATAGACGCTAAACCTATAGATACATAAACTAAAGCTTTGTAAAATAATAGTTGTGAGTGAAACGTTATCAAGAAAAACAATATTATTAAAGTCTATAACTTAAGAAGAATAAAAAGAAGTTTTGGAGCTAGGGGTTGTTAAATTATTAAAATTTGTATCACTTAAAATTATGATACCTACTCAAAGCTACTGTTCAAAAATGTATTTTAGTTACTTACTTTATTTGTTACAACATTCGCTGTAATCTCACTCCCAAGTCTCTTTAAAAATATCAAGTTAAATAACAGAATATAAGTTTTTTTTTAAATTTGCTATTTTTTGTATTTAATATTAAACACATTAATGCTTTAGATACAGAAAACCATTGTGATTTGTTTTGTAATGTATAATTATAGTTTGTGTTGTGTGTGTTTTTGAACTAGATTTTACAAACAATCATAGTGTATCTGATGGTAATTTTGTTGTGCCTAAGGACCCCAATGTTCAGTCCATAAAAATGTTATCTCACAAACCTAATTTAAGGCAGTCTCACAGTTACAATAAATTTCCAAGTCAAAGAAATTCACATGATCCAAGGTAAATTAAGTAATAATAATAATAATAATACATTTTATAATAATATGTGAGGAGGAGTGGCCGAGTGGGTAAGGAGGCAGTGTATTAGCTCTCACTGTTCGACACTCGGTCACGGGCGCTCTGTTTGCCAGGCGAGCAATCGCTTGGTGAAAAGGAACTGTCATTCCTCTCTCCCGCGACGGACTTACGACCCGTCCCGGATAGCAAACTCATCAAGAAACCATCTCATGATAGCAGCGTTGGCCTTCAAGGCCCGTTCAGCTACTAGTTGATGGTAATATTATGTAATCCACAATAATACCGGATTCTTTCACATTTTATTAGTAAACTATTGTCATTTTTTTTTTTTTTAAATAAACCTACTAATAACATGTTATTAAAGTATAAAGAGTTAGCATATTCTTTTAATTTTAATAGTTTGAAAAATTACAGCTATGAAATTATGATGTTGCATGTTTTAATTTTTTAAACAAAGTGTATGCATTTTTATAAGTACTTAAATTTGTATATGAGCAGTTTATTATTGATTATTTGTTGTATAATAGTTTTATTAAATATGCATGTATATGTATTTATATATATAAAATAATGCATTTTGCTGAAATGTTTTGTAGTTAATCTCAATATTTAATATTAGTATAATATAAAACTTTTTCAATATTTTAGAATTGGAAATGGTATACATAACACATGGAATTCGCACGAACCCATCACAACATCTAGTATTCAACCTATATTATTACCAAGATCTACTATTAGTATGGATAAAGACCATGGTAATATCTTTAAATATCAGCTGTTGACTATAATATCAAATATGATAAAAATAATTTTGTATTCAAACATTTTTAGGGAATTATCCAAAAGACAATGGTGTAATTTATAATAACAATTCTGCTCACGTATCAACCATCCACGACATGCCATGTAAAATGCCTGAACAAGATTTTACTTCAAAATATAGAGACAGGTTAGTGTAATTGATAACAAGAGTAATGAGTTTCTTTTTGTTATAATAATTGTTTTTATACTTTTTTGCATTAAGATTTGGCAGTTTGGATAGAAGACACACAAGAAGTTCTAGTTCACGAAGTAACAGTAGTGTTGATCACGTTGACAGCAATGTGCTATCAATGCCACGATATTCAAACTCGCAACATTTTACAAGTACAATATTATTACCCAATCAAACATACCCAGAAAATAGTTTAATGAGAACACACTCTTTGGGAAACATTAAAAATGAGAATCAACCACAATCGGAAAAGGTGTTACCCGAGGTTACCCCTCCAGATAACAGAAAAGTATCGGAAAAGAAATGGCTCGAAACTTCACTTGACAGCAGTAGTGTGGATTCAATACCACCACCAGCAAAGCATGAATTGCCACCTCCTCCAAGGAAAATGGCTACACCCCCAGTAATAACTCAACAACTTGAAGTGAAGTCCTCAACGTTTGATACACAAGTCAATCAGTTTGATACTGTAAATAAAATTTGACATTTAATTTCATATGATAATTTTCAGTTAATCAATTGTTATTTAATTAGGTACCATTCGAGTCTCCTAAAAATCATACAGTAGTCCAAGTCGGGAAGTGGCAACCGTATCGTGAAGTGACTAAACCGTTTGAAATGTCAGATTTCTATAAATACAGTACAAGATATAGAAAAACATCTGGCAATTCCAATAGCACTTCTTCAGATGTATCTCAGACTCCTAATGTTGCTGAACCTGCTATGCCACCGCCTCCTCCCCCTCCACCTTTACAGAACAAAGGAATATATCAGCCTCTTAAACCGCTTAATTGCCAACCTCTGGCAAACCAGTAAATATACAATTTGTTTTAATAACACACTATTTTGTAAGAACTATATTAGAAACTAGGCGATTAGTAACTAAATATGATTATCACTTAAATCATTAGTAAACCGATCATTTAGCAAGCTCTTAATTTAGTTTTTAATTTTCAGTTAGTCATTTTGAGCCCATATCAAGTATTCAACAAATCCATTAAGTGTTTTAACTGTATATAATTGTTTTTTTTAGAACTATGTCATTGATGGAAGAAACTGTTTGTCCTATGGATAATTTTGAACCTAATAATGGAGTTTTGGACGACAGCGTGTTTGCTAACGAAATGTTATCTTGGTACCAAGACGACGCTACTCCTCAGACTAGAACAGCGACTCTGGTTTAAAGAATGTAAATAGGTAGGATGTTCATACCTAAAGCTTACTTATCATGTATTATCATTGTAATTATATTATATTATAATGAGCAACTTATAAGTTGCCTAACCTAACCTTGGGTACTATAACTGTAGATACTTTGTTGTAATTATTAAAGCTTGCCCTTTAGTTATAGTTATATTATATAAGCATGTAGAGTTATGTAAATGGATTTATCGGGTTTAATATTGAAGATTAATTGTGAATAAACTTTTTAACATTTCTTATACAAGTCCATGTAAAATGATAGACCAAAGATTGACACCAGTGATTTATTGTATTGGTTAATCTGTGAAAACCATTATTATTTATAATTGCCGTCTTTAGAACACAAGTAAATGTTACAATGTTATCGTTTTTGATTTTCATTTTGTAATATCCTTTTTAACTTTTTATTGTATTTTGTATTAAAAAAATAATATTCATTTAAAATTAATTTTAGGATTATAATTTCTGGTATTAATAATATAATGTTATATTTTATACTTTTTTTAGATGTGTACAACTAATTATTGTGTACTCGGTATTTCTTTGCTAAATTACATTTTATTATCAAACACATAAAATGAATTCCTGTTAAATGCTATTAATTGTATTTTTAATGATTTACTTAAGTATTTTACACGCGTTTGAGATCATTTTGTGTAATTAGAAATTAATTTACGAGTTTACCAAAATAAAATTTTAATTAAAATTAACATAATTAGAATATTTAAACTAAATTTTTTATTTTATAGATATTCTTTAATTATACAAGATTAAATTAATTAAGTAAGTTATTGTAATTACTTACATTTATACAACTGTATCCATCTTATATAAATAGTTACAATCAATTACGCATGCTATTTGCATTATATAAGACTGATTTTGTTGTGCAATTAAATTAAGTGGGTTTTTTCTTAAATAATTAAGTTTAATTGATTTTAAGTACACATTGGAAATAAATTTTAACTTAGTTAGTTTTTAGATTTTATGTTGATCAAATTATTTTTCCTTTATAGAAATTGTGTATCCATGAATTATAGGTTTTTAAGAAACACCTATTTCTATTAAATATATATGAGTGTTGTGTAATTAGTTGTATGCTAGTAGTATGCTTATGTCAGAGAGTATAGATTTAATTTTTGTATGAAGAATATTTTAAGTTGTATTTTCTTTATTTCAGAATTAATATACGAGTATAGTATATACAGTGATTGTAATATTATTGTTGTACTTTGTAACATGTATATAGTATATTACGTTTGTTTATTCTAGTTATATATATATATATATATATAAGTATCTTAACATATGATTTTAAATTATAAATTGTAGTTTACTACATCACATTAGCTAGCATAATATTATAATTTCAATAATATTAAAGCGTTTTATCGCACATGTCTTTTTATTTTAAAAATGTATTTAAAAATAATCGTTAACCACTAAAAAAATATATAATACATTTGATATCTAATTGTGTAATTTGATAAATAAATTTTCACTTCAACAAGATTAAGGAGATTTTGTGATGTACACACACGAAGCCAATTATATAACATAGGATGAATATAATACTTATAAAAAGCTATTTGGCCGTCATACACGGTGGTTGTGGGTTGTGGCGAGTATATTTTTACTCGTTTAGTCGTGGGCGTAAAAAAGAGGGGTTGCTTGAACACCGATAGTATAATAAAATGTTAGCTCTTGTATACATTGATATAATATGTAACGTAGATAATTGCTACTGTTCTACTTTCGAAACTAGGGGTGCCGAACACACACACAAGTTCCTTTTACTGTGCACTTTGTTGACTATCGTTATAATTTTTATTTTATTGATATGAATGTCTTATGGCTGTAGACAATAATTGCATCATGAGTTTGACCTAATCTATTTTAACCTAAATATTTGACAGGACGGGGAGGGTAGGGGAAGGTTAAGAGTGGAGGGCGGAAAGGGATAAGGGGTCGAGTAGAGAGAAGATAATAAGACAATTGGCTGATAAGAGATATGTTTTTCCTTCAAGGGAAATATTTTTAATTACCGGCGGCGCGTACGGTGTGATGTAATGAAATTTTTTTGGGGGGAAACGATAGAAGGACCTATGCATACCGTCTTACTGTTGGCGGACGGTCAACGAAAAACACTTGGTTATTTTTAAACGGCCATAAGTATAAATAACCGTGGTTGGCGGCGATGCTCCTCGCCATAGTGTCACATCACGACGGCTCATTGATAGTTAAAGCGTTCGGATAATATGATCGACGGGTCCGACCGGGGAATCCGATGCCCTAAGACCCTTCTCGGTCCGGTTACCGTGAGGGGTGGGCGATGGCGACGGAGAAGACATTTGTACTGATTTTCTTTCGCACCTAACCGCCGCCAGCCGGCACATTAACGCCGAGCACACAACAAGTACACACGACAATATATTATATTTATTGTTCAGGAAAAAAAAAAAACAAATTATAATCGCGAAAATCGGCGCAAGCGCGACCCGGCAACCGCGACTAAAAATATACGGCCGATGCGTATAGAGTTACGCGGGCCATCGTCCGGTGGACCGGGGCCAACTTTCGGTCGACGGGACTAACCATATTTGTACGGCTCTCGATAATGAAAATGACAATATTATTTTTATAGAATAAAAGCCGTTATAGAAACGTCTCGTCGAGCATTTACGGTTTGGATAGCGAGTCGGTCAGGACACCGGTTCCCTATATAGGAGGGGCAGCGTTGGCCCTACATGGACCGCTAGGCTGTTTCCGTTGATTTTAACTTGTGGTAACGAAATCACCTTTCCATAGGTATCGAAAAACAAAAGAGACAATGATATAGTATAAGTATAAGCATAAGTTTTAACTATTACCTATACCCTACGCCTCATCTACCAGGGATTGTTATATCCTATTGTACCTAATCTATCCTATGTGTGTGTGTTAGGCGCCATTAACGAAGTTTCGTCGTGAAATAATATAATAAATAAATAATACATAAATTTCTTTATAGGTCTATGGGTAATGGCGTTCATTTGCAATTAAAAACAAATTAACTTAGTTTTAAAAACATCAAACTTATATACATAATACCTAACAAGTTTATTGTTCGATTTCAAGAAATAACGAAATTTCTAAACTTTCAGTTCCAAAGATATTTCAATTCTCGCTCAGTGGCCGCAATTCCTTCCCCTACTTCGCCAAAAACATTGTGGGCTGTGGCTTATTTAACTTTAACGTGTTGACTTGACTAAAAAGTCTCATTAATAGAAAATCTTTCAAAACAAATTTTATAAGCTCTTATAAATACTATAAGTTTAAAATTAGTCAAAATGTATTATACAAATGAAAGAACTAGATATGAATATCATTTAGAAAAAATTAATTTGCAGTATGATTGTTTAGCTAGTTTAATCATTTTACTGAAATTTCTTAAATTGTAGCCTCGATATGAGGTCAAAAAGGTTAATAGCTTTAGAATATTTTTTTCTATCTATAAACACGACAACTTGTTTTCTCTAGAACCCGATTACAGTTTATTGAAATTGCATTTCTATCAATCAGAACCTTACGTCATTTGTGTATTAGTAGATCAAAACTTTTAAAAAATATTTCATAACACGTTTGTTTTTCACATAATATTATGTACAATTATAACAACCAATGCTTTTATATTCGATGAGAGAAAATATTTTAGCAAAGGATAAAAAATGTATTGCCCACCCAGATCATCTTGAGCTTGAGCGGCGGTTATTTTTCTAAATTAATAAAACTATCAACAAAGAAACAATTTTTCCAACCTTATAGTCTTTTAAATGCCTTTTTTAAAATTTATTTCAAGCTTGCAAACATTTGCTCGTTTTACGTATAACATTTCTATTATAAGATCAACAATTATGCACGAGTTTTAGCTTTACGGCCCCATACTTTGAATCAACCTAAGTCCACGTTGATAGGGTTTTATAGCCGAGTATATATTATGAGGGAATGACGGTGATCATCGGGAATAATATTTTACTGCAGTTGTACTGCATTAACCCGGATACACTAGCTAGTGTATAAATATTTACAAGATGCTACATAGGTACTTCGTAACATGACAACAGCTATTTATATTTTCTATGCTAAGTAAAAAACGATATTGTTATTATTGTAATAAGTGACACTTGGGCACGCGTGTTTTCTATCATTCGGACTTTTGAACACCTGTCATTTGTCAAACGTCCGACATTTGAACAAGGACCTTCACCCATATTAGCGTTTAGGAAAATGTCAACAGATTGTCGAAAACAACAATCGGACTGTTTCAAATATGCCGACAAGTCCTTTCAAAATTAAAACTTAAGCCTACCAAAAATTATTTGTAAATGTTTATTAAATACCTAAAATAATAATTAAACAAATTGTGCGTGTCTTTATTTTAATTATAAGACTCGGATAAAATCAAAATATGAAATTAACTCTACATTAAAAAAAAACAGGTTTAGCTAATAATCTATTAGCTGTATATTAACATTTTATCAAGTTATAAAATTATTGAATTTTTTTTAAATGAAAGACGATTAAAATTAATTTTGGTGTTCCTCATTCAAACATATAATTAGTCACTATTTTATATTTTGTTTACCTAAAATAACTCCTATGTATATTAATGTTGAAAACAAAAATAACTGCCAAATATATTTCTAATTTGCTTACTTTCTTGTTGATAGAACATTTGTAGCAAAATATATGCATATTACCGTCTATGCAAGTTATTTTATACTATTCATGATTTGACGACTTTTTGGATTTATTATGTAAACATAGGCCAAAAGTAATAATCATAATGATTATATTTCAGTTTAAAACAAAACAAAACGGGTATACAATATAATAGTATAAAAACACTAGATTGAAATAAGACAGTTGGCGATGTTAGTTTAGTTTATACCACACAAAAATGACAGGATGGTCAGAACCGGTCACAATTTTTCGATCCGTCGCCAATTAAATAGGCGGAGAATTAGTGTTAGGTATCATTGTATAAAGAGTTGCTGCCATTAAAAATGTATAAAACAACTACCTACTGTTTTAGAGAACTTGATACATTTAGAACGTTAGCTGTAAACACTGACTTGTCATAGCTGTTATAAAGATGTTTTACTCTATAGGTAGCAGAATATAAACTAGGCATTGACATTGTACCAAGAAACAATTTTCGTACTACAGTCTACAGTATTTCTTATCATGAGTCATAATTAAAACATGAATGTTTTTGAAATATACGTGGACATATCGATCTACATAGAGATTTTTTTAAAGTGATCCACTCAGTATTTCAAATGGTTTAATTAGTAATTACAGTTCTCTTTTTCACAGTGTTTCTATACAATGCGATCACAATTTCTCACAAATTTACATAAATTTAACCCCACCCTAAACAAAGTATTTTTATATTAACTTTTGAAACTTAACTAGTAACGTATATTATATTTAATTAA